AAGAATTATAATTCTCAGATGTGGAATTCGTCTTCCTAAGGAGTAACCAAAGACTTCTAAGAAGGAAGAATGCATGAGAAAGATATCTTATGCTTTGGCAAAGGTAGACTCATGCATATCATGTTGGGAATTAAACCAGACATCTGTCACGCAGTGGAAATAGTGAGATGGTACCATTCTGGATATAGAGGAACACTAAGATTATTGTTAAGCATGTACTCAAGTATATTTGGAGAACGAGAGATTATATGCTGGTATATTCTAGTGGGAGTCTTGAAAAGCTGAGTTTTCAAAAATTCAGTTATTTCAAGTGGATATGGACTCAAGAAAATCAACCTCGAGCTATGAGTTTTTCACTAAACTCAGATAGCATTAGAGGTGGATCTTGCAGACCCAGTTACTAAGAGTTTGCCTGAACTTGTGTTCGAGAGGCATGTTACTTCTTTGGGTCTTAGGAGGATCCCAGACTTGCATTAAGCAAGTGGAGTTATTGGTTTCATTGTGCTCTTGGAGTAAGATGATGAAACAATAAAATAATTTTCTGAATTTCATAAATAAGGTTTTATTTATTTATTTTGCGCACTATTTACAAACATAAAGGTCCGGATCAAATTGTGGAGTATATGATCATATGGATACGTTCATGGAGGACATGATCATAGGTTCTCACAATTGATGAATGGAGTCACAGCCGTTAAATAAAGTTGGGCACTTTATTCAGGCTGCAATATTTCATGAAATGATTTTGTCCGAATCATTGTAAAATATTGGTGTGAATTAACATTCACATTGAAAGGATCAAGGAGAGATTTGATTAAGGTTGTTTTTCTGTCATAAGGTATCAAATTTTCAGTTAACTATAGTTATGTGATTGCTCTTAATCCTGAGTTTATTATAAATAGTAATCAAATAGTTTTCATTCTTTGATTTACCAACGGGTGAGGTTCGATCTATTGACGGCCAATAACTCAGTATTTTGGGAGTGAGATTATTTGATTATTGGTATTTATGAGATAAACAACATGGAATTTGTAGGATATGTCCCCTTGATATGTTTCGGTACTTGGATATTAAAGACACTGGTCAGTGCATGTAATCCATTAGAGAAACTATCATAGTCAAGGGAATAAATAATTGATTGAGCTATAGAAAACTTGTCAATCAATTATAGACATTCTACAAAGGGGCGATGCATATTCATGTTATAAGTGTTGTTAATCTTGGAGTTCAAGTTCGGGCTTTTAGTGGAGTAGCACCGAATTAGATAATCATTCGTTGATTATCAGGAGCCTTGATTAATAACAGATGGTAGATCCCCAGGCTAGCTTGAGACAAGGGACAGGTTGTATAATCAGATGATGATGGCTTATGGGCTACATAGTCTTGAGTTTATGAACTCAAGTTTGTGTCCAAAAGAGCAAGTGGGAGATTGTTGGGTTTAATATGCTCTTTTCACTTAAGCCCAATAGCTTTAGTGAGAGTGAGCTCAAAAGACTAATTTCAACCCATGAAGCTTAGGATTAGTCTTGGATTGGGCAGAGTATATAAACTATCTTTTCTCTTTAGTGCCTCCTAGGGTTACAGACATCAGAAACACAAAGAGGCAGACGTTCATCATCTGAACGGTTGCCCACACGACTCCCTAATCCCCTTGAGTCATAGCCTGAAAGATCAACCGTAGAGCGGAATTGCGACCGTTCGTGGTGCGTTGCTGCAGATCGTGAGGCTTGAGGAGGAGAACAGAACGTGAGAAACTATCACGCTCGCTACTTCATCTCAGGTAATCAAAGCGGTGTGCTTCATTCCTTATCACATCGGTACGATGCGCTTCCGCGTTTCTGATGATATACCTTCAATTGATCTGTCTAACGGAAAGGAGTTGGTACTCCCACTGCACCCAAAATGAGCTTTTAGTTGCCATACTGCTCAAGTAACGGAACATAATAGAACTATTATGGGAGAATAAACATCATAATTGATGTAGGATCTTTGTGAAAACCCCTGTTCTTCTTTAATTGCCTCATTACATTCATTCTAATCTGAATGCTTCTGCATTCTTGAATGGTTTTGGATTCTATATCTATATTATCTCTTGAGACAACAAGAGCTACTCAAAAGGAAAATGAGTCATTGACGACAGTTATAACTTTATAATATTTTTCTCCCATATTACTATAGTGTATTGCAACTTTTATGTCAACATTAGCCAAATCATCGTTGTTTCCCATGACGTTCATATTGGCTGTTTTGTATTCTCGAGGTTGTTGCAATTAGCAGCTGCATTTGTTTTACCGGTTTTTTTTTATTTGGAATTAATCTATTCAAGAGGCGCGACGAGCAACTAATTTTTATTTTTCGCAGATTTATATCTTTAGTCCCTACAGGTCATTCACGCTTCCGACATTGACTATACTCAAGCATATTTTATCTCATTAAATTCTCTACTACAAGTGGCTCATTCTTTTTAGTCTCTCATTTGTGATCAATAAATATATTTGGCATTTGTTTTACTAAAATTTGCAAGTTAATGATATTTTAAACTTCAAGCTTAGTTATACTTGTACGTGGACCAAAATAATTCATTTATTTTTTCTTTTAAAATAATTTTTCGGGATTCATTGAGCTTCTGTCTTTCTCCCACTAATGCTGGAAAATGTCCCTCATTGAATATTTAATCATTGAATCATGTATTAAACAAGTCGCCCATCATCGGTTCCAAGTACTTGATTCTGTATTGAGTCTCAAAAAACTCACGTAAATATCTAATTTTCAGATGACATAAGGACATATATAATACAACAAAAAACGCGCAAACGAGAAATATCAGGTTCACATCCATGTATAAGTTCAAGAGAGGAATAAGCTTAAAAGCATATGAGCTAGTTAATTATTTCATGGTCATTTTCATCACTTTGATTCTTCATATTCAATAGACATAAAATATAAATAATATTTTCTCTCAATATTTTATTTCAAATTATTCATCAGGTCTGTTAGATCTTTTCAATCATGGTCTAAAGTAATAATTCTTTAGGAACTATACCATTATATTCATAAAAATGATGACCAAGAAAAATCATTCATTTTGTGCGATCCTTTCGAGATGTATATAATGTAGGCGTATTTTCAATGGCATGAGATTCACCGCTAGCTTCTTTCTTTTTCGTGATTTTACCCAAGGTTGGATTTTCAACCTCCCTTCTAAGGGTTATATCATTGGTCGCACTCATAGCTCTCAAATAGTTAGAGGTTTCATAGATTTGGCATTTTCTTCAAGCAATACTTTTGAACCAACATGTCTAAAATTATAATTATTTTCACTTATTTAAGGATGTGAAAATTTGGCTTTTTGGCTTTTTCAACATTTGACATAACACCATACGGAAAAAACCTTAAATTAAAAATAAGGATTGTTGTCGAACTTCATTACTACTTCAGGAACAAAATGATATAATTTCTCAAATATCCAATGAAATTTTTAAAACACCCACTACTATTTAGGATTATGAGACACTTACTGCTACTTCGAGAATAAGAGAATATATATTGTCAAATATCTATTGCTACATCAAGAACATTAAATCAAAAAAGTAAAAATTCACCAAAGTCAAGCTTATTTCACAAAATTAAAAAAGTGGACAATAACTTGAATTACTAAAACCATTTCACGAAGGCTCCTAATTATGAATAAATTAATTAAAAGATTCAAAATTCCGCACCAACTTCTATATGATTCTAAGTATGTATGTTATGTTCATAATATATTTTTCTTTCATAAAGATTTAACCACTCTTTGACTAACTTTTACATTGTGGTCAGGTTGTTTTCATAGTCTATTCTAGAATAATTTTGTGGATAGATTGTCGGTCAATATCTACCTTAGAACAGTAAAGAATGTTCTCATTTTCTTGCAATTGCCGTTTACAAATTGGTCACTTGTAGAGTGGACCAGTTTCTCTTAATAGATTCATTCATCTAAATTGAACAAAGATATCTCCAAATAGGATGGTCTTTTCAATGTTAATATTTTATGTAACTACATATATTTCAAATCTATTTCATATTATTCTATCATCTGCCAAATATATTTGTAAAGGTGTATCTAGGTAATCAATTAGATTTAGACATGTTACAAAAACAAAGCCAAGCAACAATACATATGGAATAATTTAAAACGGTTCTGACGAAAGCAATTCGTGTAATAGGAATAGTAACAAGCCACAAAAGTTTTTTTAAAAAAAAAAAACTTATCTGGAAGTGGGAATTCTTTTTCTATTTTAATCCATATTTTTTCGGATTTGATGTATTATTTTAAAGGGAAAAATGTTTGTCATTTTAAATGACACAAAGTTATGTCATTTTTAATGAAACTATGTCGTTTTGGTATGTTTTAACATTCTCTCTCCTTCATTTTATTTTTATTTCTAATTTTATAAATTAGAAAAATTGACAAAACACACCAAAACGACATTGTTTTATTAAAAATGATACAAAGTTATGTCATTTAAAATTACAAACACTAAACCCTATTTTAAAAGACATAAAATTATATAATTTTAAGTAAAAAAAAACACAAGCAATAAAAATTATGGGGAGAAAGTAGATGATTTTTTTTAATTTAAATTTTAAATAAAAAATATTAATTTGTGTTTTTCTCTCACTTAAAATAATACAATTCTATATTTTATAAAAGGACAAATATTTTTTCTATTTTTTTTTATAATTTTCTTTAAGTCACAATTTTTTTTTCCTCTTTTTAACATGGATGAAGAGTACGATGGTTTTCTTCTGGAAGTGAGAACAGAGGTAGATGGGTTGGTGGAGTTGGAGATCCCGATTGGCAATTCGCTTCCGCAAAGTGGTGATCATTCGGCTATAAGTTATTTATACATTAATTTATCCGTTAGGTGTTGGACCCAAGCCCAACAACATGAACAGCTTAAAAGTTTTTTATGAAACCAAAATAATATCAAACACGAGCCCATACAAGACAAGCATAGTATCATTGAACTGAAAAAAAGAAAGAAAAAAGAACAACGTAAGAAACAAACACATAATCAGAATCTGAGCTCATCAAACTGAAACCCTAGTTTCCAACGACAATGTATCGTTATTTCTCTTCTTTTCGCCATGGCCGTGGATCTTCCCTCATTACTCTTCTCGCACCCAAATCATCACTTCCATCCAATCTACAATCTCACCGCTTCACGTGGTTGCCTCAAAACGACGGTAACATTCGAATCTCTCTGCCTTCGTTTTCGTTACTCTTGAAACGGAAAACGAATCGACCCGTCTATGATTTCTTTGCTCGAAACTGTGGGAAATGAAAACCATAGTGATTGAATTATAAGTTCTTTGATTGCATCCTTTCAATGTGTAGATAGATAGAGACAGTGTTTATTATTTTCAAAACGAAAAGAATAAAATAACAATGAAAAACCTTTTTGTCTGAGGTTGTTGCTGGATCAGTGGCTGCTGAATTAGGTTAAAGAATCTCAAGATATAACGTTTGAGTAAATATGCAATTTAGTCTCTGATTTGTGTTGCTTTAGTCCTCGAAAGTTTCCGTATGTATAAACTGGTTTCTGAAGTTGTTAATTTGTTAACAAGTTTAACTTAACAGAGTTATTAACTTGCTAACAAGTTTATTCTTTTGTGAACCAATTTGTATAGCCCGAAATTTTTTGGGACTAAAGCAACACAATCAACATATTTTCATAGAATATTTAATCGAGGACCTCTTGATGGTAATAGCAATAATAGCTGCAGGGATGGTGACTCCCTTTTTTGAATGGTGTTGAAAGGAGCAAATTTCACTTTCTTCTTTAGAATCATGTAATGGTGTGTGACGTTGAATTCGAGATTGGGTACACCGTGCCTTCATGGTCACTGCTTTCTGTTAAATGCAGGTCATCTCAGTGAACTTGGATTGGATTTTCTTCATGCTTGTCACACACACACACACACACACACACACACAAGGTTGGTGCAATAGTGATTGGACACACACACATATCTGCTTACACACACACACAAGGTTGGTGCAATAGTGATTGGACACACACACATATCTGCTTAGACACACACACATATCTGCTTAAGGTTGGTGCAATAGTGATTGGACACACACACACACATATTTGGTTGCTCTGATTATTTGGGTGTTCCTGAATTATGTGTTTTCAGTTCTAAAGTGGATTGTACACACACACACATATCTGCTTAAGGTTGGTGCAATAGTGATTGGTTGCTCTGTTTATTTGGGTGTTCCTGAATTATGTGTTTTCAGTTCTAAAGTGGATTGTTTGAGATGGATTGATGTAACATTCAGCTCACATATTGTTATCATGGAATTAGAATATGTTGAAATCGGGAAAACAGAAAAGGAGTGGTAGCAGTAGTGATGGATACCTTGAATCACTTTATCATTTAATTTTGCAAGTAAAGGTTTAGTGTTTTTTCCAGGTCGTCTCAATAGTCTTATTAGGGGTCTTATTCAATCTTTTGAAACTGCAGGACATGTTAGACGATTTTCTAGCTCAAATTGGGGTTGGAGTGGGAGGAATCCGAGCCAGAATGTGAATGCAAATGCACGTCCAGATTATATGCGTGATAGAGAGAACATAAACTCCAGAAGCGCTCTGAGCCAGAATGTGAATGCAAATGCGAATGTCCGTCTGGATCAGATGCGGGATGGAGAGAACATAAACTCCAAAAGCGACAATGATGCTGAGACTGGCAAGAATTCTAGGCCTATGGACTTTGTTAGAGGAATTATAGAGGAAGATCGAAAGGATTTTATGGGGGGTTCTCCATATCATTATGAGCAGGATGCGGATTTTGTTCATATAAAGATGTTACGGAACAATACCTTTGTTACTGTAACAGATTCTAAAGGAAATATAAAACTCAGGGGCTCTGCCGGTTCCTCCTTGAAAGACATGAAAGCAGGGCAAAAGCTTTCTAGGTATGCTGCTGAAGCAACTGCAGAAGTTGTTGGACGAAAGGCTAGGGCTTTGGGGTTGAAATCTGTTGTAATGAAAGTGAAAGGATTTACTCATTTTAGGAGAAAAAGGCAAGCCATAATGAGCTGGAGGGAGGGATTTACTGATTCTCGAGGGGATAGAAATCCAATTGTATATATTGAAGACACCACTCGACGTCCTCATAATGGCTGCAGACTCCCAAAGAAACGACGTATTTAGTTGTTTTTATTGGGATTGTTTAAGAAGCTTTATTTGACTTGGATGAAGACATAATTTTAGTGCAGTTTGGGCACATGCTGATATTTTTATCAATCATCTTTCATTATGATGTCTTTTGTTGTTTACATTATGTACAATTACGAAGGTTCAATAACCAGAAATTTCTGTAGCAGCATGTCCTGAAGGGCCATTCTCAATTGAAGGTTGTGTGGGGCTCATGGTAGCTGATCTTGTATTACTACTTTAACCTCTTTTTTTGACGTAAAAAAATGATGAAATGAAAACAGAATTTGTCATTTACATTTTGGCGTTTAACAAATACTTTGGTTTACTTAAGGGATCATCTTCACATAATACCCTAGATCTCAATCAATGCCACTAGAACTGTGGTTATGTAGCATTATTTTAGATTTGTACTTCACAGTTCACACTCTTGATTTGACGGTGAAAAGAGTCTTTAATAAAAATGGGGCTATCATCTTTTAAAGACCAATTGTCACACAAGTCCAGGACAAGGCAAGATTTGCAGAATGACACACAACTGATGCTTAAGCTTTTTAAATCTTATCCGGGGCATGATGGATGAATTGCCTGATTCTAAATGATACAAAACACGAAGACACACTGTCCCTAGATCTCCAGGAGGACCTCTGCAAATTTTGTTAAGATGTCAAGTCTCTTATGCACAAAAGCATGGAAGAAAATATCCAAAGCAAAGCATGTACCTCTCAATCTCAGAAATCACCATACATGGTAGTACATTGCCACTAAGGCAACTCACCTCAATAAAATTAATACACAGATATATAAAACCAACAGAAAAAGGAATCACGGCACAAGCCACGTTTTATTTCTAACATTGAAATGCCAAGTCTGATGCACAGCAAACTTCGTTTGAAAATTTAATTTGACTAATAAAACAAGCCGAGACCATCATAATTTCACTTCTTCAAAAGAAGAGGCCCAACATTATCCCCAGTGGCTTTGTTATGCTTTACATGGCTTCCATCACACAGAGGAAAAGTCCCTGATCTCCAACATCTGCACCCAAGCACCCAGAAAGATTAAGTTTTTTGGAACTTAAACATGATACACGTAACTATCAATGTTCAAACTACATCAAACACAAACAATAAACAGGGAAAATTCAAGACTTTACACTTAACACAAGTTTTTTGCTAATTGAGACTTCAAAGTAGTAATACTATCAAGGCTTTCACATGGAGCTTGTGTCTATACATGTGAGCTTGAATGTAAGTATGTTTTTTTCTTTTAAACATAAGAATGGTCAATAATAGGGCTTCGATATTTAATAAATTTAGATCAAATTTCATACAACAAAAACACAAAACTAAGCAAACCACCCTTTGTTGAGCCACAGTCTCCTATGTAACCCTTTGTATGATATTCTCTTCCAATTAGGTTGACAAGAACAACATATAGAGTAAAGAATGACAGTTATAAAGTTCCTCCCTGAAGAGAGTTCATATTAAATGCAATAGTAGTGAACCTTTGCACATAAAAAACATCACTCCCATTAAACCCCGACTTGCAAGGATAGGGATGAGAAAAATCCTTGTACGTAATATTACCTTTGCATTTTTTCCAAAAAGTGACAATTGTTACCGCTCAAAGCTCATCCATCTTTTAATGACTAGCACAATATTATAGAGATCCAAGGATATAATGGACTGCCATAACTACTTTAGCAGAGTATACCTTTTCTTACCATCCAAAGATAATAAATCCAATTTCTAGAATACAAAAAGATCTATTTAATGACAGATGATGACTTAAATTTAGTATTGGCTGTGTGTAATAAACTCCACTCTGCAGCTAAATGCCAGTTTCCATCTGGTAAACTGCCCAAAGTTCAACAATGGAGCAATATGCTTCTCATAGCTTCCTTATCTAAATGGAAGGTGTGACTTCAGTTGAGCAACTACAATAAATGCTACTTTCTCAAGACACTTCAGTTCGGTATATTCCCAGCTGGGCTAAGCATCTAAAGATCATCTTGCCTACAAAATTTTAGAAGGGTTAGGATTATGGATCATACACAGCAACTTCGTGCCCTCTGGATTTTTTTAAGGCATGGAAAACCTTGGTCACTAATCCAGCATATCGTAACCTAAGCAGTGTTAGCATGTTACTTAAAAATAGATAATGATATAGAGGATCATTTAGGCCTGCATCTCATTGATACTGTGTTAAAGACAAACTACAGAAAGCATGTTCCTTTTCATGACATGTTTTACAGTAGTTTTTTTTCTAGATTTTTCTGCAGAACTCCACCTCTCCAAACATTATTCAACCACCAATCCCTAGGCCATTTGTTTTCTTTGCACCAATGAAAGATGGATATTCAGTTTTTTGACTTAACAATTAGATGAATCTAGCAAATCTAAGAATGCTTCAGCATGCATTATTGCCTAATGTCATATCTTGAAGACTTGAAAAACAAGGTTTCTTGAACAAGTAAAAGGACAATAAAATTTAGAAAGTATCTTAATATCAGAAGTGTAAATTATATGTAAAGAACCAATTCAATCCAAAAGCTTAAGCTGGTGGGTGAAACTATATTAATAATTTTATATATCTCTAACATGTCCTCTCACACAAGAGTTCGTTGGACTTAAAGGGTGGATGATGCAGTCCCACAATCCTACTTGTGCTAAGAAATTCCACAAAGATGAAGTGGGGGACGATGAGGATAGAACAGTAATACCTAAGTTCTGATACTGTGTAAAAAATTAATTTAACCCAAAAGCTTAAACTGATAGACGAGACTACGTTAATAATTTTATATATCTAGATGACAAGGAAATTAGCCCCCGGAATCAAATTCTTTTTCTAATTAGAGGTTTAATAGAGCACAATTTTAAAGCAATACACATGTTAATTTCGCTAGTAACATAACAGAAATTAAGGGGTATTGGAACAGAAGGCATAATGATACAATTAACCACAAAGGGAAGTTTCACAAATTGAGTCTTACCTGCAATAAGCTGTGAGGGGCTTGGAGAGTTCTGTGACCACCACAGAATCCACCACCTTATCTTCACTCTTCCTGATATCTGGGTTTATACTCACAGCTTCTGCTTTCACCAACACCATGCGCTTTGCTCTCTTACCATCAAAGCCACCAACACCAAAGGAACAAGAATTGAATCGGGAACCTAAAACTCCCCTTTTGCTCTCACCTAACCCCTTCAATGGTGTTATGCCATAGCATAAACCTGCACCAACGTGGCTTAGAACAGATTCCATTGAAAAGGGTCTCTCTTTCTCTGTGTCTAGCTTCTCCTTTGCTTCACAGCTACCAAGTGGGTGAGATAATAAAAGAGGATTGACTTGCACGTGTGTTCCTGAACTTGTGGATGGCACGTTCCTGAGTTCTTTTACACACACAACCACTTTGAATGAAGACAATAGACTAATTTATTAAACTTGGATCTTTCACGGGCTCGATCCAGTCGATCGGTACTCGGCTAATGTCAGCTACTTGAACGGGTTAGATTGAGTTTATATAGTATTACATAATAAATACAAAATGACAATTCCAATTGATAATTAACAATACATTACATAAATTTGACAGGAATATGAATATATTTTTCTCAGATAAATTATTTGCATTTACTTTCAAAATGACATCGTTTTGAGATTGAAAAATTTAAAAATTATAATTATAAAGACTATAATAACCCTGAAATAAATTAAAATTACAAAAATATCATGATTTTCGCTCCAAAACAACATCGTATTGGACTTATTGTAGATAACTTATCTGCAGTTAAGTGAACCCATATTTTTTACATAAATACCATACGAATTTAAAAATAGATCAAAACTTTCGACATGAATACGACTCATTTATTTTACCGATGTAAACGATAATAATAAAGTATTAATAATCTGTCAACTTCAAAGTATATAATTTATTATGTTAATCGATATGACATGACATGACACGATATGATATAAATAACATGTATACTAAATGTTGATTTTATTAATATCATGTTGACATGACACAAATAATCTATAACAAGATTAATATTTGTGAATTTTGTATTTGCCGGTTGAAATGTAATATGATATAAAAAATATCATATCAATTTTTTATTCATATCAAGACGACACTAATTTAAAAAGGGATTAATTTAAATTTTTGTGTTGTATTCCTATTAAGAGCCTGTTTGGATCCTCTTATTTTTAAGCTAGAAGCTACTTATAAGCTAAAGCTAAAAAAAAGAGCTTAAAAAAATAAGCTAAAAGCTGTTTGGAAATTACATAAAAGTTTTAGCTTAAAAATTACTTAAAAGCACATATTTCAAGAAAATTATCTTTCTCTCTATCTTTATCACTCTTCATTTAAAAAAAAGCACACAATTCAAGAAAAACAGATAAGAGCTTAAAAAAAAGCTCCTCCTAGGAGCTTTTAATTTTCAGCTTTTTTCTTCATTATAAAAAAAAGAGCTTTTCGTTATAAGAGCTTTTCCTAAAATCTGTTTGGCCTAGCTTATGCTTATAAGTAGCTTCTAGCTTAAAAATAAGAGGATCCAAACAGGCACTAAATAAGTGGATAGTGGTGAAAATGATCATACCTAATTGCAATGCACACGAAGTTACTCTAGCTTTTCTATTACACAATTTATGATGGATTAAGTGACCCGACGACTATCATTTGACATGTGTAACGGGAAAAAAAGTGTAAAAATAAATAATTACTAAACGGTAAAACTTAGAGAAGGACTTTAATTTTGATGGTTAAGTGTGTATCATCAAATCACATCATAGGGGTCATAAAATTTGTATCATGTTTTGTTATACATAAAGTATCACCGTCAAGTATTCAATGCGATGCAATATGTATTTCCCAAAACAATAATACCACAAGGGCTCTTGCACTTTGAAAGTTGAAACTTTCTTGAAATTTAGGTTTCAACGTCTTCCTATGAAAATCATGAGACCTCAAAGAGAAAGATGCCTGTAATAAGTAAAAAAGATTCCGTCTAAAATTTGAATATTATATTTTTATTTACAATATCATAGTTAAGAAAACTAAAAAGTATAGATACACAAATACAGAAACCTCACTAAAAAGAAACTGGTAGTTAAATATTTTTTTGTCGTGCACAAAATAATGATTGCCAAGTTTCTAACTGCTAATTTAAAAGCTCCGGGTGATATATATATGTAAAATTATTTTTGCAGTCACTTTACGTACAATAATGACAGATGTATGGTTATGATTCTTCACACTTAATATTTTCATCCTTTGTATTGTTATGATTTTCTGCATTTAATGCTTTCAAGTATATATATGGCAAGTATTTGATTGCTGCACGCACAACAGCTGAGTTGTAAAAATATAAACCCCATATATATATAAACAAAAAATTTGTATATATAACTTTCATCGGATATGTTATATTTACAAACTCTTACAAATTACACAATATACTTCCGGAAGAATATTCCTAACCGAATGTATTTTCGGAAGTACATAGTATAATTTGTAAGGTTTGTAAATAAAAAGTTTATAAATATAATCCTATCTTGTATAAATTAATAAATATTATGAAATAAATGAATATATATCGTGAAAGAGAAAAATATTTCTCCTGTTAAAAAAGATAAAATTATCTCAAATAACACTAAAATAACGTAGTTTTAGAATTATTGGAGATAACTTTATCTTCATAAACCTATTATAAAATATATATTAATAAGTATTATGAAATATATATTTTGCTGTCACAGACAGAAATGAAAAAAAAACATACACAAAATCCAAACATACTAGTAATTGTATAAATTAATATAAATGAAAAATTAATTATAGTTGATGATATAATAATAATAATTTGTTTTGTTCAACAATACTATTTTGGCGTTTCTTCTAAACCAGAATATTTCAACTTGAACGGCTACGGGGAATTAGGAATCGTATCAAATTCTTGGAATATCCTTACTTTTTGAGTTTAATTTTGGTTCACGTGGAATACAATATAAGAATTCAAAATTTCAAGTTATAATGGTTATAATAATCAAACCACATGTAAGCATAAATACAACTTGACAAAAGCAAAGAGGCATAACCACCAAATAATCAATGCCATAAAAAATGAAAATTGTCCAAAGTGAGAAAGAAATAGACACAACCAACCAACCGCCAACAAAGATTATAAAAACAAAATGCATACTTTTCTTCCTTCTCACTAAACAAGGGAACTTGGAAAAGGAAAAACTACCAAAACAATACATTATTGTAAAAGTAAAACACAAACAATTAATAATCACTAAATTACGAAAAATCACCAATCACATTTATTTTGTTTCAACTTAATCACTAAACCATCAAACATGGATAAACTAATAAGGATTATTCCAGCTTAACCAATGATTTTAAATATATTATTTGAATGAGCTTTTTTCTTAGAGAAGTTCTTTTTTTTTTTAAGAAAAAAAACTCCTTTTAATTTTTTTTTATGTATTTGGATAACAATTTTAGATTTTTTTTTTAAAATTAAAAGTTAAACATTTTTGCAAAATTTCAATTTTACCCCATCCCACTGCAAACACTCCACCTCACAATCACATATCTAGTAATTATATATATAAAAAGTGCTTATTAATTTTTACTTTTTCTTTTTTGAAACTTAAAAGTCAAAATACAAAATAAGAAGAGATATATTATTTTATCTACTTTTTTTTTATCTTTGCCTACCACTCTTCAACAATATTAGATTGGAATCTCAACTATCTTTATCATTTCTCTCTCCTATTTAGATTTTTATCTAATGATGTTGGAGAATGATAGACAAAGATAAGTAAAAAACAAATAGATAGAATAACCTATCACAAATAAAAATAAATCTGTTATCAAAAAAAAAAAAAAAAAACTCAAATATGATATATAAATTTGATTCTAAGAAAAAAAAAAAATAGTTACAATTTTTAATTTGTTTTTACAAAACAAACCTTATCAATTCTCGGAATTAGAAAAACTGTTTTTTGAAATGAGTTCAAGTTTTAAATTTTAATCACATGTAATTAATGAAGAGGTGAAAAATAAATAAAAGCAACTAAATTACATAAACGCCCCTCAACTTTTTCCCCCACCAAAAGACGCAAACACACCTCGCACTATAACACAATGCAATGCAACTAACCTAACCAGAAAGTGCCACCATCAGCATCAGCAACATCTGAAATCACAAGACCGTTTCCATTCCGCATTGGGCTCCATTGCATTCCATCTCCAATTCCGTTCCCGATTACGTTTCCGTCTTCTTCTTCCATGTTTTCCGCGGAATTGAATTCTCCGATCTGAGGGAAACCGAAACTCACTCGCCGTTGCTGCTGCACCACCGCGATGACGATGAAAATGTTTGGGTTCTGGTGCTGCGTTCTCTCGGTCGTGATCTTTGCTAGGGTTTCCGCTCCTGCCAGATCCGACAAGGAAACACGAGAGAGGTTCTACGGGAACATGCTCAACTCTTCTGCCCCCGAATCCAACGATGGCACCTTGGCCAAGATGTTCGATCGCGTTCTCGAGAAGGAATTTTCCGAAAATGACCAACCTGAAGGTTTTTCCATTTTCTACCTTTTTTTTTAATTTAATTTTTTCTATTTTTGCATTGTAGTTTTTAATTTTTATTTTTCTGGTTTGGTTCACGAGATAATAGCCTGATGGTATAGTTAAAGTTTGCGACTTTTTTGCTGTTAGCGAGAAAATAGCATGATGGGTTAGCTGGATAGTTCCGGAGTACTAAACCAATTGTTTTGTTGAATTGAATATGCAATTGAAAATGATGCATTTGAAGTTTGGGTATCTTTTCCTGCCTTATTGGAAGACGGTGTCTGTTTGCATAGAGCAAAATATGGTGCACATGAGAACCTTCTAAGGTGGTTTTATAGTGAGTTGGAAAAAAAATTATGGTTCGAGGAGTTCCAAACTTGTAACATCTACTGGAAGAAGGTGAATGGGCATGTGGGTAAAATTAATCTATCTTCACTGCTCAGTGATAGTGGGGAACTGGGGTGCTAAAATTCTCTTAGTTGTGCATTGATTACTAATAGCATCTAGATCTGCTGGGTCTATGAAGTGATATCATAAGTTATAAATGGCAAGGTTTGAACTTTGAAGCAGAATAGTACTGCTCTAAGTTGTTGAAATTAGCAGAAAGTCATGGTAGGAGAGATGTTCTGTACTTGTTGAGAGACATGTTTGAGATTAAATTCATGTTGAGAGATGCACAAAATTTCGCATTCGCCCCCTCACTGCCTCATATTTAATCACACAGAGCTTATGAAGCAATACTTTTTTCCTTAATAAGGACACTTTTGGTATTTTAAAATGTATTTATCATGGATGTATTAATACTGGTATATGAAGCAATACTTTTTTCCTTGATAAGGACACTTTTGGTATTTTAAAATGTATTTATCATGGATGTATTAATACTGGTATGGCGTGGATATGATCTGTCATTTATCCTAATAATCTTTTCCTTTCTATACTAGTTGCTCTACTGTTTCATTTTAACAGTCTTTTTGTGTTTTGAATATGGGTGTTGTCATGGATGATTTCTGAGTATAATAATCTAGTTGTTACTCTTATTATGTACTTCCAATTGTTGCTTGAGAGATGAAAAATAAGATTCTGTTGTCAATGATCAAAATGTGAAACATGAAGCTCGTTGATTTGTTTTAAGTTGTTTGGATGCTATTCTAATTATTATTTTCTATCTTTTACAGAATCTGATAAAAGCAGCTTCAATAGCAGTGTAGCTGATCAGCAGGTAGCTCTGATAGTCTGGTTTTCAATAGTAATGTTGAAGTAGATTACTTCATCTGAAAACAAGCTGGTGTTTCGTTGTGTATAAAATGATGCCTGGACTCTATAACTGTCAATTTCAATTTCAAATAATACATTCAAAGTGAAATGTGTGTATGTTTGGGAACTGTTTGGTTTTTTCACTCAGATCATAATCTATTAGTTTAAAAGTCTTCATCACTACGACTAAAGAGTGATTACTTATTGCTATTTGCTTTTACTATCTATAGTATTAAAATATGAGCTTTTCATACTATTTTCTCTTCCTCTAGTATATTAGATGTATGCATGGTTCCAATATTGATGTTTGAGCTATTTTTGTCTTGACGCTGCCCTCAGACATTTTCATATTGTGCTAATAACTACTACATCTTGGCTTCTTGCTGTTGAAAATATATTGATTTGGTAGGGAAGGAGGGTATGGTCTATGATGATGTTATACAAAATTCTAACCCGGTAGTCCTATTTATACTAATAATTAGGTCCAGTACAAGTATAGTACTACTAGTATAAGCATTGGTGTTCTAATACAAATTATGCAGTAAGACTACTAACCTTAATTAAATAATGAAAAAAATAAGGAATTATAAATTAAATTAGGAAACAACTCCCAAGATTGCTTCCTCAATTAGATGACTAATTGATTCCCTGCTATATTTTAAATATCTTCGTAGATACTCCAAATATAGGTTAAAATAGTCTAATAAGATATACTGAATATATTATGACATATTCACACTTGCCTTTTTTTCCCTTAGTTGGTTATCTCTGTAAGTAAAGATTATTCAGACTTTCTTTTTTTAAATGTATAGATGAGTGTTAACTATCTGGTCTTCTTTTGCAGGCTGTATTGGAGACTGTAGCTAAAATTACACATGAGAAAACAAAGAGAAATGATACACATGAGGGAAAGTATGGTCATATGTTGCCTGATGTAGTTTCTCGATTGCAACTTACAATGCATAATTGGATGTAACTTATATTCATTGATAACTTTTTTCTTTTTGAATGATTATTTTTAGTGTCACAAGATCATTTCAGTTGCAAGATGTGTTCTCCCTGGAAAATGAAGATTCTGATGATGTGACAACCTTGATTGACAAAAAGGTGTGCTAACAAGTGATGTGAAGCTTCTGGGATTGTTCTTCACTGTGATGTTAACTACTTTTTTTTTCATGTTTCAATCTTCTTACTTGTTTATGTAACTGTATGGCAGGACAATGTCTTTGTGATGTCAAACAAGAAATCCAAATATCCTGTACTCCAAGTGGACTTGAGGTTGATATCTGTTATGACTTTTATCATTGTAATTACTTTTTCAGGGAATTCTCTGTCTGCTTAGTTGACTGATGGAAGGATAATTGATTATTCTAAGAAGTTGCTTTAAACTTGGACAAATTGCAATGTTCCTGGGCTAATTTCTTTTGTCCATGGATCTGTATTGCTGGATTATGGAATGTGTTATTTTAACGCTATGTTGGAAATCATCAAGTAGTTTTAGGAGATATAATTGTGAAAATGACAAACTGATCACCTTTTTCCCTTCTTCTTTGCTTTTTTATTTTTTATTTGGAAAAGTAAATAGGCTTAGATTTTTCTTTATTTGCTCTTGGAGGTTCAACCAATTGCTTTCAAGTTAAACCTTTGTGTGCTTAAAGTAGAGAGGCCTGATATCTCAAGATGATGGGTTTGTTTTGGATTTGAAGGGATAGCTATAGCTGGCTTTCTAGCAAGTATCATTTCCTTTTTTCCAAGATCATAATTTATGATTTTTTTTTTTTAATATTAGATGCTGATGCCTCTGTATGTTGTAGTTCTTGAAATTTGTTTGTATTGCTGCATTTTGTTCAATTTATTTTCTACCATGGTATTTAATCTACAATTTGATAATTGCACATTCATGCAGGCTAATATCAGATTTGGTGGTTGTCATAGTTTCTGCAGCCATTGGTGGAATTGTCTTTTCCTGTCTGGGGCAACCGGTCTGTTAACATTTGATGTTCTTCATGCAATAGTTGATTTTCATTTTAAAATTCTATTTTAGTGATACTAAGTGATTTATTTGAGTGGACTTAAGTAATAATTGATCTGTTGGATTTCATCTACCTTTTTATACATATTGTAGGTTATTGTGGGCTATCTTCTTGCAGGCTCCCTTATTGGACCAGGGGGTTTGAAATTCATCAGTGAAATGGTACAGGTATGTTGTTATGAGCGACTCACTATTATGTTTTGCCGAAGCAAAAGTACCTAATCTAATCCCTCTTCTCCGTTAAAATTTGTTGCCTCCCTTATCTTAAGTGGTTAAAGACCACATTTTTGTGATTTACAATCTTGAGATCTAGATTCCTCCATACGAGTACCTTCTGTAATGATTATGATCATAAGTTTCCACTACCATCAAATGGTTATCCATCCATTATCTCCAAAATCTTATAGAAATTGAGATTTTCTTACTGATTTGCCGCATCGTACGCTTAGGGTACTGATGGTTGTTCAAGCAGGACTAGGGGTGGTAGTGACAAAATTGACATAGGACCCTGAAGGAATTGTTATTGGGTAGGACTTTGACCTCTAAGATGTATCAAGGTTAGGAATTTGGGTATATTTAAGTATTTATAATGGTAAGTTGATCATTAAGGGCTCGATTGATGGCTGTTGGTTACTATGCACAGAACCATTGAAATAGATTTAATGGTTTGATCAATTCTAGGACTGATTTAGGCCCAAACGAAGGTAATGTATTGTCTTAGGCTACATTAAGCAATCTTTGGAAGAAATTAAATTGTATAGTTTAATAATAAAAGATTCATACCTTCTGATTTTTTTAAATAAAAATTGCTATCATATTAAAGAAGCATTACATTAATGTAACTGGAGTTTTTCAAAAAGATTTTGAGAATCTTAATATTAACCATGTATGTATGACCTACACATAGTGTAAATACAGACCTTGATTTGGGACCACAAAAATTAATAAAAGACTCTTTCGAAAACTACTAAGATGCCCTAAACATTGAAGTTAAACTGATCTAACAGCTCTCAGCTGCTAGTAACATATTAATGTGATCTATACATCGGTAGTACAACATATAGAATAATCTTTGATTGTCCATGACTTTCCTGCTCCTTCCATGGAAGAAACATTGAAAGGACAATATCTCCATTGGGTTTTTGAACTGTTAATTTTAATTTAAGCTGTAATTGTTATTTTGTCACCCAATCATTTTGCACTGGATAACCTTTTTTTCTTCTTGCTTTTATACAGGTTGAGACTGTTGCACAATTTGGGGTAGTGTTTCTTCTCTTTGCTTTGGGGCTGGAGTTTTCCTTGGCAAAGGTTTGCCATTCTTGTCTTGCAAAAACTTCTTTCACATATTTTCATGTTATAAGTTTGAATCTAGCTAAATCTCAAACCATATGATTTTAAGATTGAATGGAAATATGTGTTATCCTAGTCTAAGGCTTTGATTAGGGGCTGTAATTTAACAAAACTTTTCTTTCTGTTTTCATTTACTAATGAGAACCTGTTTTGGAATTTTTTATCCATGAAGTTAAAAGCTGTGGGGCCTGTTGCTGTTCTTGGAGGGCTGCTTCAAATTGTAATATTCATGTTCCTGTGTGGCATTCTGTCCATGGTATGGTGCTGACTGTGTCTAGTATGGTCTTCAATTGAATTAAGGAGTTACGATAGTGTTGTGGTGGATACTAAAGATTATTGTCTACTTGATTTGCAGTTATTTGGAGCCAAATTGTCTGAGGGTGTTTTTGTTGGTTCCTTTCTGTCAATGTCATCAACAGCAGTGGCATGTTTTCACACCATATCCCGAACTTACAATATTTATTGTTATTGCCTGTGCTTAATAGATTCCAACCATGATTCATTATTTACTTTCACCTTTTACCAGGTGATAAAGTTTTTGGTGGAGCGGAATAGTAATAATGCTCTTCATGTTCAAGTTACAATCGGAACTCTTATTTTTCAGGTATTTTTCTTGTTGAGTTTTAAATGTGAAACTTAATAGCTTTTCATAAAGTAATTTGCTCTAAAGTTTGACTTAACTTTGGGTATCATTCTTTTCTCTACCACTTCTTATATCAGGATTGTGCAGTAGGTTTACTATTTGCTTTACTCCCAGTTTTGGGTGGTAACAGTGGTCTTTTACAAGGAATAATTTCAATGGGAAAACTGTAAGTCTGTATATATGCACTTTCTTTCTCTGAATTTGCTGTATCATTTCATAGAATCCCTTTTTCTTAATGATCAATAACAACTTGTTCTGTTAATGCAAGCCAATTGAATCTCATAACGTTGCTACATGCTCGAACAACTTTTTGCTTGCCAAACCTAAATTTATGGGTACACTTTACCTACCTGAAGTTTTCATCCAAATTAACTTCAGTATACGAACTTTAAGATGTTACCATTTAGAAACACTGCACGTAATGATTTTTCTGCTTAAAGTACATGAATCTTGGCAAGATATATTGAGATTTGTCCTCTAAGCTGGATAAAACATAAAACATAACAGAAGGAGAGACTGTAACTTTTGGGTAAGATGTGACACTTTTCTGTGGGTAAACATGAGAAACATAGAACTGGTAGTTAAATGTGGTGTATCATGTTACTGGATTTTGGTGAAGAGAATGATCACAAGTATGCATATGACCTCTACATCATCAGTTTTTAATCAAATTTATAGAGTTTAGAGATTTTTACTTTTTTTTTGGGGGGTGTGGGGTTTAAATTATAATTTGTCCTAAATTCAAATTATTGTCATTTGGTATGATCTAATTGTTTTCAACTTTAGGTTGCTAGTGTTGTCCTTGTATCTCACTGCTACATCTATATTGTCTTGGTCGTTTGTTCCTCGCTTTCTTAAACTGATGATGCGGCTCTCATCTCAGGTTAGGCTAAAATATATTTGTTTCACTACCATTTTCTACCACTATTAGCAGTTCATTAGTTAATTTTTCTTCCTTTCTGCTCTCCAGACAAATGAACTTTATCAGCTAGCTGCTGTTGCTTTCTGCTTGTTATCTGCATGGGTAAGTAAAATATATGCTGATTGATTGCTGTTAAAGTCGTGCATTCTTGTTAATGACATTTGTCTGCAATTCCATATTGCACATTATATTGTTGGGTACTTTTATTATTTTTCTACGGTGTAGTTTTCTTTTTTTTTTTGGGGGGTGGTGGTGGTGGTGGTTTTCATCCTACCGTTTTAGAAAAAAGATTTGGAACCCAACGGTCTTGTATAACATCAGTCTTATAGGCAGTTTATTGGAGTTCACAATTAGTAGTGATGCTGTGCATTTTATTGACTTCTGTAAATCTCTTTCCAGTGCAGTGATAAGCTTGGCCTTAGTCTTGAGCTAGGTTCATTTATGGCTGGTGTTATGGTTTCTACAACAGACTTTGCTCAACATACTTTAGACCAGGTATCATTAATGATTGATGACTTTCTATTTATGCATTCTTTATTTTCATTTTCCCCCCTTTGTATAGACTTTCTTGTTTTGAAGGATTCCATATCATCCTTCTACTTGTACTTCCTCCCTTTTCTCTATTAATTTTTTTTTTCCCTATAAAAATGTATGGTTATGTCTTTAGGATGATTTGCTGCTTCTGAATTGTGAACTACAGGAATAAATCCTCTCATGTGTTATTTAACATGACCATGTCATATGGGAGGATTATAACCATTCGTGGACAAATTAACGATGATGGGAGATGAAAGAGAAAAAATGTTGGGATAGGAAATGAAAAAATCATCTCCATTGATCTGACCATGAATGGTTATGATCCTCTCACATGATATGGTGATGTTAAATAGTACATAAGAGGATCCATCCCCTATTTAGGTAGTCAAATCATAATATTAAATGAAGAGTTACACCTAATGAAATACGTTTATATATTGTAGGTGGAACCAATTCGTAACCTATTCGCAGCTCTCTTCCTATCGAGTATTGGAATGCTTATACATGTGCACTTCCTTTGGAACCACGTGGATATCTTGCTGGCATCTGTTATCCTTGTTGTAGTTGTTAAGACTACTGTTGCTGCTATAGTTACAAAGGCCTTTGGGTATAGCATTAAGACATCATTTATTGTAAGTCAACATGGTCAACTTTTTGGATGACATATTGGTTAACTAAACGTATTTTCATATGCTGAACACTGAAATGTCTGTCTCCATGACAACTTAGGTTGGTATCTCACTTGCTCAGATTGGAGAATTTGCTTTTGTTCTCCTGAGTCGTGCTTCAAATCTTCATCTTGTTGAGGTTTCTGCTCTCTCTCTTACCCCTCCTCTGTGCTATTATCTGACATTACAGATTTTCCTGCTGCTTAGATTTTGTAATTTCCGTTGGTTTTTTTGGGGCCTCCTTCTGTGTTAACTTGTTAACCAAATAGCTTTTAGTAGGTGATGTTATGTGCATGCATCGTATGATACATATGATTTTGGAAATTAAGCATTTATTTTTATCTAGTTTGCCAATATATAAAGATGGATGGGCACGACAATCTGGTGTGACAATAGTTAAGAATTTTTAGGAATTTGAGGGAAGAAACCTCACGTTAGAAATGAAAATCCTAAGTGAGGATCATAAAATTGGAATGATCCATAGAGTTAATGCCTTAATGTTGGATCAAGTCAAGATGTGTCAATTCAACAAGTTTGGTTCCTTTCTAAGCCCATAAAACGAGATATCCTTGGTGTTCTTGGCTGTCCTAACAAGTATGTTCAGTGGTCAATGGAGACATTGAACAACTACTAAGACATGATCCATCATTTTTAGTACGTGAAAGTCAGTAAAGAATCCTGAGAATGTTTTATGTATTCTGCCAATCAGCAGATGATAGTTCCCAACTAATGAGTTGGTTGATGGATGGAGTAAGGAGACGGGCCAGTGTGAAGGATTGAGCTCTGTTATTAACTTCTTCATTTGGGAAGTTGAAGTTACTTCACTTCTTCAGGGCTCATACTTGATTACTACACGTCACACCCGAATTGCAGCCACTTGAGGAAGAATAGGGTTAAAGTAGAGTATGGTTTTCTGTTTACTAAAAGAATCTGTAATGCAAGGAACAACAGCATAAAGGGGGTTTATCTTTCTGGCTTTCTGCTGTTGGTGTATTGCCTTCAATGACTGCAAAAAGAAATAAACTCTACTGGGTCTGAAAAATAATGGAGCCCATGCGGCAAAGATGGGAGGAGTAAGATATACAATTTCTCATTTGAATTTTATCCGAAAATAGACAGTGGGAAGATGCTTTGATCTTTTGTACCTGCAAAGACCCTAAGAAATGAAAAGATCACTATATTTCTGGTGCATCATATGAATCGCCTGTAACTGAAATACTTTTTCATGGGTCTGGAAAAAGAAGGCTAAAGTGCTAAACATGAGCTTCAGTATAGCTGGTCTGGTGGCGCTTAAAATTCCTTGCCTTTTCCATTCTTCTATGTCAAACTATATGCAGTGTCATTGAAAAAAGTATTGAGTACATTACACACTCATTTGTTGAGAGGTGCTCAAACTACACTAACCTTTCTTTTATTTTAAAATAATTTCACTCCCCTCTCTTAAGATATTAATATGTGCTACATTTTAGTCTATTTTAATATGAGTGAGCCTCTAAGGGACATTTTTTTTCTCTCTCTGCAACTCTCATGGTCAGCAAGATTTTATAAGATAAAATGAAGATTTTGAAATTCCAAAGCCAATATTAGAGAAATATAATATAAACTATTAATATGACATTCACCAAATAATATAAGCTTTTGGGTTGTATTGGTTCTTTATATGGTATCAGTCATCAGAGCTTTTATAACTTATGGAACCTACTTTTATTGATCTGTAATTGAAGAAAACATAAAGGGAGACAAGCTCCTTACAAAGATAAAATGCAGAAAAGATAAACTAAAAACCTCACTCACTCTCCAAGACCAACATACCTAGGCCCCAAAGAGATTCCAAGAGATCTTTTCCCAAAAACCCCACTCCAAATTCACTGAATACATGCCTGTTTCGGAACTCCCGCTGCACGGGAGTGGTGCCCCTATACGGCAGCTGCCGATACCGACGCTGGCCCCCAAATCACCCTATATAACAGCATCTCTCTCCTGTAACTAACTTCCATGGGCTCTTCTGTAGTGCTGGATCTGGGCCCACTTGTCATAGCCCAACAATACTCCCCCTCCAAAACTCACCCTGTCTTCAAGGTGAAGGAAGAGACCAAGATCCAGTGTGAGAGAACTCCACCTAGATCCCATTGCTTGAAGCATAATGCTATGTTTTTAATAGCATATTTTCCCACACTAGCGAGTCTTTTGGAGGCTCCATTAACATTAGTGTGTTTCAGCCATAAAGGAAAATCCCACACATGTTGCATCCCTTTTAACTGATCCACTAATTCTAGCCCATGTAGCTTGCTTTTGCCTTGGCCCAATAATATTTTCAGCACCCAATTCATAGATTTAATAACTATATTTTTGTGTCTTTGAGTTGGGTAGAGCCCATTTTATTTCCTTCCAACCACACTTTTTGGGCCTGGCCCATTAGGTTAAACTTGGAACCCATTTGGCAGAATTCCATTTCTGCCCCCATGTTGCTCACCTGAACCTTGTCGCTAACAGGTACCACCAATTTGTCTTCCTCCTTTTCTTTCTGTCCTTCTTCTTCCTCATCTTCTTGTTTTTGTTGTTCTACTTCTACTGCATTTTCTTCTTCTGCTTCATCTTCTTTTGCTTTAGTCACCTCTTCTTTTGCAACTTGTTCTTCCTCTGGTTTTTCTTCTTCTTTAACCTCTGTTCATTCTTTTATTCTTTGTTGGTGTGTTCTCCATTCAGCCACAAATGAAGACGGATCTGCAATCTAAATTTCTCTTTCAAAACCATGAGCTCTACTCTCTGGTTGTTGGAAACGTTCCCTCCTCTGTTTCTCTCATTACCGTCATTATTCCCCGCTATTCTCCTCACATCAACACCTTCTTCACGATTATCAAGCCTCGTTAATGCTTCCAGAACCGTCTCACGAAGAAGAATGGAAGCTCTCTTCCATTTCACCCATTCGCTCCTCCGAATGATCAAAGCTCTTCTCCACATTAGTCAATCTGTTTTCCATTTTTTTTTTTAGATCTGGATTAGAAAGCACCTCCGGGATCGAAGATGCTCTCATACCAAATTGATGGAATCTTTTTTTATTGATTTGTAATTGAAGAAAACATAAATGGAGTACAAAGATAAAATGCAGAAAAGATAAACCAAAAGACCTCATTCACTTTCCAAGACCAACATACCTAGGCCCCAAAGAGATCTTTTCCCAAAACTGCACTCCAAATTCATTGAACACATGCATGAGTAAACCCCACTCCCAAATCACCCTATATAACAACATCTCTCTCCTGTAACTAACTTCCAATAGGCTCTTCTGCAGTGATGGATCTGGGCCCACTTGTCATAGCCCAACAGTAACCAAGTGGTTATGAGTTTGATTCTTACTGCCCCCATTCTATTAATAAATAATTAAATATTATGGAGTTTCTTAGCATGTATAGGTGGGCTTGTGCATTGTCCATCCTTCAAGCTTAATAGGCTCTTTTGTGAGAGGGCATGTCAGAGAAATATAATATAAAACCATTAATATTGCCGTCATATAATAATTTAAGCTTTTGGATTGAATTGGTTCTTTATGATATAGGGTATTCAATTATTTTATCTTCTAAAGTCACAAAGTTGATAGTAGGAATGTCCAAAAATAGTTGTCCACGATGCTAAGAGAGTCATTAAGAAAGGAAAATGCCTCCGGAGACTCATTCTTTTTCGCTTACCGCTGCTAAGAGTTTCATTTACATTAAAATGAAGGGTTCGCTTTTTCTGCAGTTACTGCAGATAAGTTATATGCAGTAAGCCCAATACGGCGTTGTTTTGGGGCAGAAATCATGGTATTATTGTAATTTTAATTTATTTCAGGGTTGTAATAGACTTTATATTTATAATTTTTTGAGATTTCAATACGAAAACAACGTCGTTTTGGGATAAATGCAGATAACTTATCTGCAGTAACTGCAGAAATATTTTTTCCTAAAATGAATTAAAGTTTAGCACATTTTCATCTCTTAGGGGAGGGGAGTGTAATTTAGCCAAAAATTATTTACATGTTCTTCCTGATTCCTTTTCTTAGTGAGTTTTAGTGATTTATATAATTTTCACCTACTTTCTGTTTTTCTCTTGCTGACCACTGATTTCAATATTTTAGGGGAAAATGTATCTTCTTCTTCTAGGAACAACGGCTCTCAGTCTGGTAAGTTTCACTTACATCTGGCTGCTCCATACTTTCCTTCCTTTATTTTTATTTTTTTTATTCTTATAACTGATGATTTACAGGTTACTACCCCACTTTTGTTTAAATTGATACCTGCTGTCATGAACCTGGGTGTTCTCATGCACTGGTTCCCCTCTGAAAGTAGCACCCAAAATGAGGTCTCTCTCTCTCTCTCCCTCTCTCATATGTCCCCTCATATGTGATCAGATAATTGCTTTCACTCAAATAACTAGGGTGCTTCTGAAACTTTATTTGGCGGTGTTAGAGATGAATACAATATTTGTCCTCACATCATTTTGCCATTATAAGTAGGATGCACTTTTGTTTTTTTCGGGGTTATGATTGCAAATCTAATAAAGCATTATTGGGGTCAACATTACATGTTTACAGTTGATGCATTCCATAATCTTTTACACTCTTCCTCAATTGATGCCATTCCATTTCAAGAATTAGGTTGCACAGGATGTTTCTAACATGATATCTTCGTTAATATGTATTTTCTCTATTTGCTATTTTATTGAGTATGCTTGGCTCCACCCTTCATCAATTATGGATAACCAAGGGTGTTGTGCTTCTGCCAAAAATCATAGATGGCATAATAACATAACCCGTCTTTTACTCTTAACATGATATCTAAGTTGATATATATGATCTCTATTTGCTATTGAATTGAGTTTCCTTGGCTCCACCCTTCATCAATATTGGATAACCAAGGATGTCCTGCTTCTGCCAAAAGTTAGGTATAACAACATAACCCTTCTTTACTCTTAACAGGCTAAAGCTTCATTGAATGAAGCAAATAGAATGTTGTGAGTCTCCAAGTTTCCATGACCTCAAATAGTACATTGGAGGCAATTATCTACTTTTTGGTGACTAATGAAATCAGGATTGCTTCTGTATTTTTTCCATTGCAAGTTCCATGATGAGCTTCAGATGAAACGGTCAGCATATTCACTTCCATTTAAGTCAATGGAAGATCTCATGTACATAGGCATATGATTTTTGTATTCTTTGAGCAATGTATATAGGAAATTACAGGCCAGTATTGTTGCTTGCATTGATCTGATCACGTCATTCACGATTAGCCTATATTTGCTGCTAGAAGTTGCTACAGATGAAATGATTGACAATTTTAGAAAATGATTCATTATGTTACTTTTTGTTTAAAGATTCACCCCGCCTTACATTGTTCTGTAACATGTAACGAGCATTTGAATGAAGATCTTATTGAGAAATTATGCATGGTGACCGGTACTTTAATTCTGAGATGTTGCAGTACCAATTAAGTGTAGAAATCAAGGTCTTGAATATCAAAAATAGGGTTTTATATTTATTATGTTATATGACCTAATTCTATTTTTCTATACATACATCAAAGATGTGGGGTTCAAATTTTTTTTTTCTTCCTCTTTCATCATTCCACTTTCTCTTTCCTCTTTGTTGTGTATGTAGAAAAATGAAATTAAGTCATGTAATATAACAAATATAAAACTCATCAAAATAACCATGAAACCGGTGAAGAGACTAATTTACAGTATCAATTATTGTTTTTTTTTTAATTTATGGTTAATATTTTAAATATCTTCTCTGATTAATTTAAATTTAAAATAGTATTCTATTAATGTGAATAATAATTAATAAATAGGAAAAGAAAGAAAAGAATGAGCAGAAATCTCTATATTATATTAACAAGAACCGGACGTAATAGCAAATGAATTGGGTCATGTAGAGGATTGAAGTGCAAGACTAATACTATGTAACAATACACATGGAAATATTTTGACTAAAGGAAAAATGAAAAAATTAATATATAATAACTTAAACATTTTATATTATTAAATATATTTAGACACATTTTACATTCATTAGTCATTATACGCGCACGATGTTCTTCAGGAAACAAAAATTCTTTTCCTACAGAGACAATGCAAACCATGGGTCCCACAATATAAGGAGAGGGAAAAAAAATATAATAAACCTCTAGACCTCACATTGTTTATTGTCTCTGCAGGAAAAAGTTGGTGTTTCATACGACATAACTGATACATTACCCTGTAACTAGAGAGGATAATATTGGTCTTTTCCAATAAATCCGTTGTGCTTTTGGCCTTTTACTTTTATCTTCCTGCAATGACAGGAAAAATGACTAATCAAATTGATTCATCTAAATGACCAGCTCTTTTAGAGCCATCGCAATACCAAATATTGTTATAGCCATGTTTATGGTACTAGTTATGCCCATGACCTCATCCTATGTAACGGTTTATTTCGGGGAATGACAGAGAATCAACAAGTCGTGGTTATGGATTCGTCATCAAAAGTTGTGTGACAATAAGAAGACATGATATTAATTTAAAATATTTCTTAAAACTACAATTTCAATATTGCTAATGCCGGAGCATAATCGAGGCATGAAAAGCAAAAAAAAAAATCTCTAATATGTCTTCGTCAGTAATTTTAATTTTGAAATTGTTTGAGATATTGTAGCATCTAATGGAAAAAAGACTTTTTATAAGTTGCTTTTTTTTTAAGAAAATTTTATAAAAGTTAACAATTATTTTACATTTGGATGCAATATTTGAAAAAACTTTAAATAAAAAAGTGATTTGGATGTTAAAATAAAAAAGTACTTTTTAAGTTGCAGAGACAATTCATTTCGCCTCTATAAACTGCCATTGTAAGTGAACTTAATTTTGCATCCATTTTGTTCTGTAACTTATTTTTGTGTTGGGCAAGTGACCATGTTTACCTTTATAGATTTTCAAGGATGGGTCGATTATTTGCCAAAAAGGAAGTTCGATCATTAGAGATAGGTCATGGTGGGCTTTTCTTCACTGGAGATGGGACTGGTTTGCTGACAGTTTGGAAATGGCTGGAAGTGCCGAAGGAGTCATCTTCTTGTGAAATGTCTCTGAACAGCGAGCCATATTGATTGTTATTTGTAGCAAGATGTATTATATTAGACGACAAGTTTCATTTCCAATTTTCTCTTTCGTGTGTTGCTAGTTCATTTTTTTCTAGCAGATATATATATTAGAAACAATCTTGTATGGCTGAATATTTTATTAATGGAAGCTGTTCCGGGTTAGTATACTCGAATACGGGTTGGAAAAACCCGAGATAACTGTGCCCGGGTTATGGGTCAGTTCTTCCACTTATTAGTCCATGAGGTGGGACCTACCACGAAGGCACGTCCAGGGTAACCACCTCTCATCCACGTTCAAGATAACCACCTTCCATCCACGTCCAGTGCAACTACTCCAACTAGTAGTATATATATAGGGGTGAATACCCCAAGAAGGTATTCAGAATCTGAACAAACCCATATTGATGTTCACCCAGAACATTTGGCGCTGTCTGTGGGGAAAGTAAAACTATTCCTACGCATTTTCTTGAGTCATGACAAGCAATAACCATGATGAGCGAGCGGGGGAGAACGAAGAGAACAGAGGGGAAGAGGATTCCTTTCGGTCCAGTGGAAGGAGTCGATCATTAGATACCACTGGAGAAGCCTTAATTCAGTTGGTGGAGGAGATAAGGAACATGCAACATCAGGAAGGAGGAAAATGGAGGCAACATTCAGAAGAGACATTACCTGAGAGGAACATGCCACAAGGCTGGGATAGGTGGAGAGGTTTTGTATCTCCCCTTCCTAGTTATATTCCATTATCACCTCCACCCGAGACCGGGAATAGGAGGACAGAAGTTCGGAGAGGGCAAGTATCTCAGATATCCAGAAGTCTTTTAGAGAGGAGAAATTATCAGCGGGAAGGACGTGGAGTAAACCGGATGGCAGAAGAAGAAGCTTATGAGGCAAACGTTCGGGAAGCAAGACGAGAGTGGGTGCGTCAAGAAGAGGATGATGAGCAACCTCGTTGGGAGGCATGAGAAGATAAGCAACGACAAGAGAGTTGTCATTACTACGCTCGCCCTAGAGGGCGTGGGCAAGGTCAGAGGCATTATGAAGAAGCTAATGTGAGAAGGAGGACAGATGGAGAAAGACGGTATATTTATTACAGAGACGAGTTCCCACAAGAAGAGGATGAGTACTATTATGCACCAGGAACCCGATCTCAGAGAAGAGAGCGACAACCAGTAGAGAATTATGGTCCTCAAGATTAGGAAGGGTAGATGATGAGACAAGAAGGACCAGGTTAGAATGAACGGATGAGGAGATTACCACAACAGACGCAGCAGGAGATCCGGGTACCGCCTATCAGTTAGGGGCCTTCAGGAACCCCTTTATCTTGGAGGTTGAGGGCGGAGCCTATTCCGAGTTGGTTCAAACAACCAACTGAGATGAAAGCTTATGATGGGAGCTCAGATCCAAAGGAGTTTGTAACTGTTTTTCGAGCAGCAATGTCATTATGTGGAGAATCAGATTCATTGCTATGTCGAACCTTTCCAGTTTTTCTGAGGAAACAAGCATTAGAATGGTTCACGGCGTTACCCGTAAACCCTGTGGACAGTTGGTCGCAACTATCTTTTCACTTTATACAACAATTTGCTCATTGTGGACCCCAGCCTAAGACCACACACAATTTGTGTGGAGTAAGACAGAAGCCGGGAGAAAACGTGAGAGAGTATTATGAAAGATTCCAAGCAGAAGCTAGACAAGTGAAAGGGTTAGAGAATCAGACGTACTTGTTGTTATTTACCACCGGGTTGCAGCCTGGCGGGTTGGCAGATTCATTGGCAAAGAAAAGTACGGCTACTAAAGAAGATTTGATGGAAAGAATTCGCAAGTACATTGATCTGGAAGAATTTAAGTCTTCTCAAAGGCAAATTGAACAAGGTTTCAGAGAGGTTACATTTAGGGAGACTGATGGGCCTGCAGGGAGAGGACAGTTTGAAGAAAGGCGACCTCGGGTAGTCGGAGAAAGATTTAGAGATGCATACAGGAGGGAGTTTACACCGTTGAACAAATCCAGAGCCCAAATATTCAAGGAAGTAATGTCAACAGAAATGCGGAAGGTTCCTAGGCCGCCGCCGATTCGGTCAAGCTACGCACAAGCAGATAAGACCAAGTGGTGCGAGTTTCATCGGGGGTATGGACACCTTACAAATGAATGCTTCAATTTGATGAATGTTATCGAAATGCTGATTAAAGAGGGGAAGTTACATAAGTACGTGAGGAGAGGAGAAGAAGAAGGCTGTAAGAAAGATAGAGATAGGCGACTAGATCGTAGCCGCAGCCCGCCATAAGGAAGGAATAGAGAGGTTAACGAGAAACAAAAAGCTCAAACATCTCCAAGTCGGCTCCCAGTGGGGCATGTTTGTACTATAGCCGGAGGCAGAGCAGGAGGAGGAGAATCAGGGAATGCCCGGAAAAGGCATTTGAAGATGTGTATGGTTATTTCAGAGAAGCCGCATTTTAAGGAAGAAAGAAGGAGGACGAGAAAACAAGTAGTGTTTGAAGATCTAGATGATGAAGTATTAGATCCGGAGCACGATGATCCTTTAGTTATCTCAGGTTTATTAGTGAATTACCAAGTGGATAGGATGTTTGTGGACCTGGGGAGCTCGGTAGACATTATTTTCTGGGATGCGTTTAGCAGGATGGATTTGGACTGTGACCAGTTGGAACCATGCGAAGCCGAGTTGTTAACATTTACAGGAGATAAGATCAAGCCGTTAGGGTACATCCCTTTGAGGTTGACTCTGGGTAAGGCACCCACACATAAGACAGTGACGTTGTCTTTTGCAGTAGTAGATGTGGGTTCAACTTACAATATTATTTTGGGAAGACCATTCATGAAGAAGTTCAAAATCTTTTTATCGATAGACCAATTGGCTATGAAGTTTGTGGCTAAGGACGACAATGTGGCTACAGTAAGAGCAGATCAGGTGGTGGCTCGGAGTTGTTACAATATGAGTTTGCGGGTGGAAGCAGAAAGTAGAAAGGCAAAAATAGTCGTAGACGAAGAAGAAAGCAGGAAAGAGAAGAAAGAAGAGCGAGTGATGGTGGTGGGGTTAGATCCCCGAGCTGAAGATATAAAGGAAAGGCCGGAACCCGCCGGAGTAATGGAGGAGGTTCAATTGGGAAAGTCTAGTGAACAGGTTACTAAAGTGGGTTCCGAGTTGGAACTAAAGGTGGCTGCAAGTTTAAAAAAGTTATTACAGGACAATGCAGATCTTTTTGCGTGGAAACCCTCTGATATGCCTTGAATGGATCCAGCTTTATCTTGTCATCGGTTAGCAATAATGCCCGGAGCCAAGCCGGTTGCGCAAAAGAAAAGGAGTTTCTGTTCGTAAAGAAGAAAGGCGATAGAAGACAAGACAAAGGAGTTATTGGAAGCATGATTTATTAGAGAAATAGAATATGCTACATGGTTAGCCAACCCGGTATTAATAAAAAAGCCGGATGGGAGATGGAGGATGTGCACGGATTATACTGATTTGAATAAGGTTTGTCCTAAGGACCCATTCCCATTACCAAGCATTGATCAGTTGGTAGACAAGGCATCGGGGTATAAAGTCTTGTCTTTCATGGATGCGTATTCATGGTACAATCAGATACCTTTGTGGAAAGAAGATCAGGAGAAGACAACGTTTATTATGGAAAATGCGGTGTATTGTTACAATGTGATGTCGTTTGGACTGAAAAATACAGGGGCAACATATATGAGAATGATGAACGAAGTGTTTAGAGAGCAAATGGGCAGAATGTTGGAGGTATATATGGATGATATGATTGTGAAGTCGGAGGATGCTAAGAATCATTTGGAGGACTTACAAGAAGTTTTTGAACAAGTGAGGAAGCACAATATACGGTTGAATCCGAGTAAATGCGCTTTTGGAGTTTCAACGGGTAAGTTTTTGGGGTTCCTTTTAACTGAAAGGGGAATTGAGGCCAACTCGGATAAGTGTAGAGCGGTGATGGAGATGAAGAGCCCAGAGAATATTACAGAGGTACAGAAACTCAATGGGCGAGTAACGACATTATTCAGATTTTTAGCAAAGTCTGCACATGTTTCATTGCCATTATTCTAGTTACTCAAGAAAAATTGTGATTTTGTATGGTCCGAGGAGTGTGAAGCGGCGTTTCAGCACTTCAAGACTATGTTGTCATCACCACCAATTCTCAGCAAGCCGGAGCCCGACGACTTGTTATTTTTATATTTGTATGTTTCGCAGGAAGCTGTAAGTTCAGTACTCGTCCGAGAAGGAAGTGATGGAAGTCAGAAACCGATATACTTCATAAGTAAAGTATTGCAAGGAGCCGAGGTAAGATACCAGAATGTGGAGAAAGTGGCATTTGCTCTATTAATTACGGCGAGGAGGCTTCGTCAGTATTTCCAATGCCATCAGATAATAGTCAGAACGAACCAACCTACTAAACAGATGTTGTATAAGCCGGATCTCGCAGGTTGAATGGTTGCGTGGGCAGTGGAGTTATCTGAGTTCGGTATTAATTTTGAAGCACGGAAGGCGATCAAGGCACAAGCGTTGGCAGATTTTGTGGTAGAGATGACACATCCGGGAAGCGACTTGGGAGATACATGGTGGAAGCTGTTCGTGGACGGGTCGTCCAATAAAAGGGGAAGTAGAGTAGGAATTATCATGGAGAACCCAGAAGAGGTAGCAGTAGACTACTCGTTGACGTTGGAATTTCCCACGAGCAACAATCAAGCAGAATATGAGGTAATGATTGCCGGGTTGATCCATGCAAAAGAACTTGGAGCGCAGTGTTTGATAGTACATAGCGACTCACAGTTGGCGACTTCACAAGTAAGTGGGGTGTATCAGGCTAGAGGAGAAATCATGATCAAGTATTTGGCAAGAGTGCAAGAGTTGATGAAACAGTTCAAAGAGGTACGGGTAGAACACATCAGAAGGAATGATAACGTACGGGCAGATGTCTTATCCAAGCTGGCGAGTACAAAGACCGCAGGAAGTTTGAGGACAGTGATACAACAAAGTGTTAAAGCTCCAAGTGTAGTATGGGTGATACAGGAAGTAGATTGGAGAAGCCCTATTCAGAAATTTTTAGTAGAAGGGAAGGAACCAGGAGATCCAAAAGAGCCTATTAAGCTAAGAAGGAGAGCAGCATAGTTCGTGGTAATAGAGGGGCAGTTATATATAAGGGGCATGAAGTCGCCTTTGTTGAAGTGCTTAGTCGCACCAGATACTGAGTATGTGTTAGAAGAAATACATGAAGGTATTAACGGGCATCACTTAGGTGGAAAATCTTTAGCAAGAAAGGCTATACGAGCAGGGTATTTCTGGCCTACAATGGGGGAAGACGCTAAAAAATATGTGCAAAGGTGTGAAAAATGTCAGAAGTTGTCTAGCGTACACCAGGCTCCTCCCGAGGAGTTATTCACAATTTCATCTCCTTGGCCATTTTTTAAATGGGGAATGGACATCTTAGGCCCCTTTCCCAAAGCAGCTGGAGGTGTTAAGTACTTGATAGTCGCTGCTGACTATTTTACAAAGTGGATAGAGGCTGAGCCTCTTGCAACGATTACTGCTCGAAAGGTTCAGAAGTTCTTCATTAGGAGAATAGTTTGTCGATTTGGTATCCCGGCTATAGTCATCACGTATAATGGAACTCAGTTTATGGACAAAAAGTTTAGGCAGATGGTGGCAGATTTAGGAGTGAAACATAAGTTTTCAGTAGTGGAACACCCACAAACAAATGGGCAGGTGGAATCGACAAATAAGATTTTGACAAATGGTCTGAAAAGGAGAGTAGAAGATTGTAAAGGAAGATGGGTGGAAGAGTTGGACAACGTATTATGGGGATACAGAACTTCAGTGCAATCTAGTATTTAAGAAACCCCATTTAAAATGACTTACGGGTTTGACGCTATGCTTCCAGTGGAAGTCGGCGAGCCATCATGGAGAAGAAAGATAATATCTGAAGAAAAAGAAGAAGAGAATAATGAAATGATGAAGATTGATTTGCAGTTGTTGGATGAAGAGCGAGAGAAAGCAGCATTAGTGGAAATGGCGTCAAAGCAGCGAGCAGCAATTAGGTATAATCAGACGGCAGTGAAAAGAGAGTTTCAGGTTGGAGATTTGGTGCTCAGGCGGGCATATGTGGGGAATAAAAATGCAAGCGATGGGAAGATGGCGGCTAATTGGGAAGGTCCATACCGGGTAATACTGACCACCAAGACGGAAGCATATCGGATAGAGCATTTAGATGGAAAATCAATTCCACGATATTGGAATGCGGCCAAGTTGAAAAGGTATTTCAGTTGAAGAATACAAGATTTAATGGGAAGTCGTTGGGCAAGCTATTAATATTTAATAGGGATACAGTTTAATTATGCACTGTAGTAGTAGGTCATACTTTGTTATGTTTGAACTCGTTGTGTTTTTTTAATTTGGATGCATTTGAATTTATGATATGGATGATTTTTCAATGTTAACTTCGATGATAAGATGCGCTTAAAGAAGATAAAGTCCCTTGCCGCCTTGATTGGCCTCTTGGGCACCCGTTCAATTCCTACTAGGAAGTGGGAATATAAAGTCCCTTGCCTCCTTGATTGGCCTCTTGGGTACCCATTTAATTCCTACTCGGAAGCAGGATGATATAATCTCTTACCGCCTTAGAGGGCTTATTGAGAAAGATTAGTCAGGAAGTGGACAACTAATCTTGACCCTTAATAGCCCAAATACTAAAGCAAGTTGATAAGACAAGATGTAAAAGATAGAGTCATAACAAAACAGGAGAAATAAGACTGAATACAAAATAAGGTGGCATCCCACCCCTTTAAGTATCTTTTGGAACATCGTCGGAAGTAGCATGATCAGAAGCAGACTTGAGGGGCATATAGTCGGAGGGGCATTCAGCAAGAACAGCAACAGAGCCTTTTTCATCATGAGTACATAGCCGTCCGTCTCGAATGAAGTTGAAGGTCTCAATTTTGTCTAAGTGAGGTAAAGGGGAGTCTGGGTGGAAAAACTTCACCTGGTCTACAACCCAACCACGAATTTGATGACCAAAAGCAACATATTTTGAATCCATGTCATCAGCAGCTTGTCGTAAGGTTGAGATATCCTTCTAAAAAGCATCCACCTCCAGCTCCAGTTCGGCAACTCGGAGGTCAGAATCTTCAAAGTTTTTCTTCAGAACTTTTTGTTCATCAGTAAGCACTTGGTGATCTTGTTTAAGCACAGTAAGCTCTTCATTCAATTTTCTCCTCAAATCTTCAGATTCTGTGAGTTTGAATTGGGTGTCTTGTGATGTCAAC